TATATATATATATATATATATATATATATAAAAAATAGCATTTCAGATCTATCTTCTGTGGTATACAAAAGATCGATCTGAAATACTGTTCTTACACATATGAAATAGATTGAAATGTTAAACACCACAGTCGGGTAGATTATTAATAAGATGTATTATCATACCTAATTCAACAGAATGTGAAACATATATAGTTGTATTGAAAAGTGATTTATAAAGATAAGATCTGTGACTAAAAGTATTTAGAAAACTTGAATAAAATTAGGGAGAAGCGAATGCTACAATAACGTATACTAGTTTGTGTGTAAAGTTTACCTCATATTGATGGTTTCCTCTCACCATCAGGAAAGTTAGAGCCAGGAAAACAAACGTCCCTTTGTCCATCTCGTAAGTAATTTCTCGGGAAAACCACCAGACCTATGGTCGTCGTATTCTGTCTGCTCATTTATATACTCAACACTTAGTGGCTCAAGTCGTACAAGAAAAACTGCTCAGCCAATGATGGTCAACTATTCTGATGGTTCGGTCTTGTTGTTTAACCAGTCAGCGAAGTTGATTTATATTGCAGGACCATGTCATACTTTGCTACTTCCGATGGGTTTTGTACTTACTACGTCACCTGTGGAAGAGCCTTTTTACTAAAAATACTTCAGAATTAATTTTTTGAAGTTTTTGTTAAATATTCAATGTCAGAATGAAGCGATAACATAACAGTGGAAAAGTAACAGTGTTTGATGAGAGTCTAATGGAGGTAACTAATTATGTAGAAAAACCAAGGTATGTAATGTCATTGAAAACTTAAAGTTTCTCAGTTGATAATACAAACATTTCAAGGTGTATGTATACACTGGCTTGGATATTTCTGAAAACAACATAGGACATTTTCCTGTTGGAATAAGTTACGTAATTTCTATGTTTTTTTATTTAGTATTTATGGCAAAACTGCTGAGGTTATTTGCCGCTGTTCCTAATTGTGATCTACTGACCAGAGGTGAGGTAGCCAATAAGCAGCACACTATTACCACCCTCAGGCCACGCCAAAGGACTGACTGTCACTCTTATAACGCATCCACAGCTTCAAGTGCTGGGAATATTTTGTGATATCAACACGGATTCGAACCCGGCTCGCCAACTCCTAAATCCAAGACTCTACGACAGAGCTACACTGCACTATATTATGTCTATGTCCGAATATTTCGTTCTCTCTCTTAACACACACACACACACACACACACACACACACACACACACACACACACACACACACACACACACACACACTACTTAGTAGTAGTAGTAGTTAGTAGTACTACTACTACTACTACTACCTTAAACCTTTAACTTTTACTTTACCTTACTTTACCCTT